AAGCGAAAGGACTTGGCTAATGTTGCTGTCCCTCTCTCTCTCTCTCTCTCTTGCCTTTGCAGGTTCATCTTCAGCTGCGAGGATTCTCCGTGTTCATTGACGTGGAACGTCTGGAGGCAGGCAAATTTGATAATGGTCTACTCAACAGTATTCGCCAGGCAAAGAACTTTGTCTTAGTATTAACGCCAGACGCACTGCATCGCTGCATCAACGATGTCGACTGCAAGGACTGGGTGCATCGCGTAAGTACTCTAATCTCCCTCTCTCTCTCTCTCTCTCTCTCCCTAGCTCTGATACTGATATATATTCATTCGTTTTCTGGATTAGGAAATTGTGGCTGCTTTGGAGTCGAACTGCAATATCATACCCATCATGGATCAGCAGTTCACGTTCCCGGACAACCTGCCCAACGACATGTGCAGCGTGGCCCACTTCAACGGGGTCAGCTGGATACACGACTACCAGGACGCATGCATCGATAAGCTCGAAAGGTATATAACCGGCGCCATTCGGACTAAAGGAATGCTGACCAAATAGTGCCACAAACCCCAGTTCCCCTCTCTATCTCACTCTAACTTAGTTAGTCAGTTAATTTAATGAAGCATTCGATTAGTTTAAGTGCAATTTATTTATTCCGTTAAACCCGATCTTTAATCTCAATATCAATCTCAATACATTCCCAAACTTAATTTTCCGTTGCGGCAGATTTTTGCGCGGCGAAAAGAATGTCGATCGCATTGCGGCGATGGCGCCTGGTACGCCCGGCGTGGCGTCTTACCAAAGAATGCACAGCAATGATTCCGACTATCAGCAGAGTGGTGCAGGCGGAGGTGGCAGTGGAAGCGGCAGCGGCAGCGGCGGCGGCGGTGGTGGCGCCGGCGGTGGTGGCGGCGCAGGCAGTGTGGTGGATGGCCTAATGACGGCCAATGGCAGCGGACAAGGTGGGCCAACGAGTACAGCAACAGCTGCAAATCAGAGTCAGAGTTCGGGTTCGAATGCGAATACGAATACGAATGCGAATGCGAATGCGAATGCCAATTCGAATGCCAGTTCAAATCCGAATTCGAATACCAATCAGACCCAGCTACAGCGTAGACTAGGCCATCGAGACCACTTAGGCTAGCCTCGTGTATACAGCATCCAGCATATGTTTAAGCAAGACAGAGAGGAGGATGATGATGATGATGAAGATGAAGATGAATCCTCAATGTGGAAACAACCTCAGGCGGGACTGTCCAGAGGGCCTATGTCTCCCTCTCTCTCTCTCTCTCTCTCTCTCACCCTCACTCTTACTCTCTATATCTTTAGTATACTACACACACACACTCACACACACTCAATCACTCACACACATACCTACATAACTCTCTATCTACTCTACTCTAATCTAAGCAAACCAACTTAATTATTAATCGATTTAATTTTGATTGCAAACTCGAAACTCGATAATTCACGAGCAGCTAATCACCAGGCAAATAGATACCGGCAATCCCCCTCACCGGCTCGCCAGCGCGGCAGCACCTCCCTCTTGAGCTATGGGCGTGGCCAGGCGAAACGCTCCAACATCCTGCCACCGTATCGCACACAGCAGGCGGCGCTGCTGCACAAGTCCGGCGCCGGCTCCGCCTCGATGCAGAACATCATGCCGAAGCCGTATGCGCCGCCGCGGCGCAGCTCTGCGGCCGGCCTGGTGCACAATGCGAGCGTGGCCAACGGCTATAGGTCACACAGCGTGGACGGGCTGCTCGACCAGGCGGCCAGCAGCAGTCAGGACAGCTTGAGCACGCCCGAGCAGCGCATAGCGAAGGCCGCTGCCCTGGTGACCGCCGGCAGCACGGCGCTGACCAATGCCAGCTCGACGTGCACGCTGCAGCCGGAGGACGAGTCGCAGCCCGAGGAGGAGGTGTGCCCGGTGACGCGACGGGAGAAGCAGAGCCTGGCCCCGCCCAATGTGCAGCAGCATCGCAAGTCGCGCAGCCTGGACCACATCCTGTCCAAGCAAACGCTGGCCGAGCTGCTGCCGCCCAGCGGCGAGCCCACCGACGAGACCCAGAGCATGCAGAATCTGGCGCTGCCGCCGACGCCGCAGCCGCAGCGACGCGACGCGAGCAGCTCCTCGAAGTCGCCGACGCCAGAGCGGCCCACGCAGCGCACAGCCGCCTCCAATCGCCAGAGCCCGGACGGAGTCAGCTCCACGGAGAGTGAGCGCGAGGATGCGCAGTCGGTGAGGTCGCAGGCATCGGGGCAGCACGGCAACCAGCAGCGGGCGGCGGCGCATGTGCATCGCGGCGGCAGCCAGAATAGCAATAAGACGTCCAACTCATCCCTCGGATCGAACAATAGCGCCAGCAATAAGACGATCTTTAATCGTACGATGAAAAAAGTGCGCTCGCTGATCAAAAAGTAAGAACAAACGCAAAAGCAAAAGCAAAAGCAAATGCAAATGCAATTGTGAAATGCGAAAGATGATTCGCTAGTTCGACTACTTCCATTCGTTACTTCCTAATACACATTCTAATCCACATGCCACAAACTGTCTGATAACGTCTTTCACACAAGCTCACACTAAATTTCTTGACTCGCTTCTTGCTACACTCTGTTCGTTACATTTTTGCCGTCTCTTCTAAAACAAACGAATCTCATGCATCACACATACCCTTACACTCTCCAACTGCCCGGACCCAGGTACACTACCCCTCGCTCTCTCTCTCTCTCTCTATATATATATCTCTTGTATGTCTCTATCTCTCTTTCGCTCTCTCTCTCTCTCTCTCAGTGGTGTTGGTATTCGCTCGCTATATCTACTTATCTCTCGTAGCTCGTTGGTTTTAAGACTTGTTAAGCTTAGCATCCACTAAAAACATGCCTGCGTTGCCCCCGTTACAAAACTTCTTGAACGCCCCTCTTTGACTCTAATGAAAGTCTAAATCTATTTGCCTTGTGATTAGTTGAAAAAAAAAAAAAAAAAAAAAAAAAAACAAAAAAAAAACGAATTTAAGTTGCAAAAAAAATAATTTATAAACTACTCTTAACGACTGTGCACATAAATTAAAAATTAATTTATAAAAAAAAACTACAAAACAAAAACTAAACTAATTTTAAACTACAAGAAACAAAAATACAAAAAAACTCTATTAATTTTAGTTACGTCTAATATTTATTATCCAAAATTGTAAAATTTCTATACAAGTCTTTTCTTATAACCGTCCGAAAATACAAAAAAAAAAAAATAAAAAAATAAATTAAAAAATATTTAAGTGATAATTAAAAAAATACAAAAAAGAAAAATGATTTAAAAAACTATCCAAGCCGAAACAAAATGCTGTACAATATTTGATAATTTTTAGCAAAAGAGACTTAAGGCATAATTTTTATTGATTTTTGCAATATATACATATACATAGTTATACATACTTAATAACGAAATAGTGCCTAAACATTGGATTAGTCGTAAATAAAATGTGAATCATTCAAAGCATCATTGTGTCTTATTGTCTAAATGGCCCAATCTCATGTGATATATGCGACCGCCTCTAACAGCCATACCCAAAAACTAGATCATATGCATGTTCATTTCCTGTTCTATATATATGTATATAGTGATTCTATGTATATGTATATCTTTATGTTTTCTTTGTGTTCTTGTTCTTGTCTAATATTCGTTGTTTGTCATTCAGTTAAATTGACTTCTAATTTTTAATGGTTTTCATCCATATTTTTCTCTTTTATTTTTTTTTTCTATTGTTTTTTTTTTGTTTGTTTTCTTTTTGTAGACCATAAAAGCGCAATTTGTTGTACTTGTTGTTATTGTTGTGGCTGTGCCCCCGCCCCTGCACATATCCGATTCGAATTCAAGAACTCAAGAACTCATCATTCTACACATCCAAGAAACTGTCAACGCATCACAGGGTGATTCGTCGTCCAGCTGTTGCCACCAAGAAAAACAAAAAAACAAAACGAACATACATAAACAAAAAATAAAACATTCATTGTTATTTATTACAAAATCAATAATCAATAAATGTGTATATGTATATATGTACACAAAACAGACTAACTAACTGTTTTTAATGTATATATTACAATTGCTCTGCACTACATATATTATAGCAACGAACTGGAGGACACTGAACTCCCCGATATTATCCTGTCCAAGGCAACATCTCCAAATGCTGGTCGCATGATATTTTGGTAGTGCTATGTATAGTTGTAAACATGTTAAACATATTGAAATACTCGACGATTTTCTATGAATGTACTCGAAAAAAAGAAAAACGAGGGAAACAATTGAAGTAAAAATTATTTTAAGTAAACAAAAGTCTCGCTGTTTTAATCATTCCAGGTTGATTAATGACAATCGGAGACAAATAAAAATGTATTCTAAATTATCAATAATGATTAAAAGAACATATGTATATTCAAAGTTTTAAGCTTTAAGGGTCTTCGCTTGATTGGAGCATACATTGGCCCCAGGTCTGACCCAAAGCATCCAGCATAAGATACCTTCAACTCAGACGCATTGTCTCACTCTCCTCAGTCGTAGAGCTTATGTTAGTTATTGCTGTCACCTATGTATATATCTAGCTCCGATAAGTATGGAGGCTGTCCCAACTCTCCTCGTCTCAAACGCCAAGCAACTTCGTGCCATGGGAATTGTAAGACTCTTCATTCAACGGAGTGAATAACAAGGAACAGGCTGACAGAATGAGGGACTTACATATGCCTGGTCAGCATATCATCCCTACAAAGAGCTTCGATTCTTCAAGTCGACTCTCCTGCTTCCGATATACTCAATAAGTCCATCTCTAGCTATTAGACGTTTCGCATTGACAATTTAAGTAGGCTTTGCCTTCAGCTTGCTGTCTGAAATTTATTTACGGCCAATTCGTTAGTCGAAGCCAATATTTCGTAACGTTAAAATACATTTTGTCGGAAAACAAGAAATTAGACCTACATATTTTTTTTTTTTTGTAATTTTTATAGGAGCTGTTGATTTTGGAGTGGACAGGATATCGTAAAATTCGGTGCCATGTTGATCGTGGAACCATCTGACGAATTAGTCCTCGAGGGACCATTCAATCGTGCCGTTAGCAAGAAAATTATGGTATACAATCCAAGCAAGCAGAAGCGCATTGCGTTCAAATTGAAAACAACAACGCCGCGCTTGTTCTTTGTGCGCCCCAATGTGGGTCTGGTCAAGCCCGAAGAGAGGGTTGCCATTGATATCTTCGTCCATCCGATTTCCAATGATATCTATGCCCACCGCCATAAGTTCATGATGCAGGCCGTCGATGCCAGTGATCAGATTGGGGACTTGCACGAGTTCTGGAAGAATATCAGTCCGACAAGCATCTGGGATACCAAACTCAAAGTCAAATTGATTGATAGCCAGATGGATGGCCTGCAAAAGATTCATACAGATAATTCTTTGGGTAACGGGGAGCATCAAAAGGATAACATGGACTCAATCACACATCTAAAGGATAAGGTGAATGTGCTGGAAGAGGATCGCCTACATTTGATACAACAGGTCGAGATCATCACCAGGCAGAAGGACGAGGAGCGCGAGCTGCTGGCCATGAAGCTGCAGAAACAGAAAGGCAATGGTTTCTGGATGTTCATGGCGACAGTTGCTGTTGTGCTAGCTGCCCTAATAGGTGGTTGGGTCGCCAAAAAATTCATGTAAAACGTTAGTGAACACACACACATTCACATTATGTATGATATTAAAGCAATGCACACATTAAATAAAACGGACAAGCGCCAATTTGTTGAGGCATTCAAAATGCAATAATTATGCAACACTGGCGGTTGCATGAATTCGATTTAGATATGTGGCAGCGCTGCTGTGCATAATTCGGCGATGTGGCAACGCCATTATTACGCGCAGCTATAGCAACCAGCGCTGGGCACGCTTCAATTTGGCATTTAAATGTTGGAATTGTCACTTTTTTCACTTTTTGGTTTAAATTGATTCAATCAATCATGTTGTAATGAGTGATACTGATACAGATGATACAGATCTGTTGCTGTTAATACCGCCCAACTACTATACACCTCGGCAGGACACGATGAGTGCGGCTGCCGAGGCAGATGCACTTGCTATGCCGCCGCCGCCGCTGCCGCCGCCAGCGTCTACAACAGCTGCGTATCAGTTTCTGATGCCTGACAAAAAGTCGGAATTGAATCAGATAAATGCGCGCTTGCAAAACCTGGAGCTGGAGCGCCAGGAGGAGCAGCGACGCTTTGATGCGCCTTCGGATTTATCCACGATTTCATCGAGTACAGTGCGCAGTGCCTTGGGCACTCGACCGCAACGAGAGCTGCACGGCATGGCACACTCGACGCCCAAGGGTGGTAATCGGCTGGAGGAGAACATACTGCAGGAAATCGATAACTATCTGGACGATAACCATGCCTGGCACCAGAACCAGCAGCAGCGCCAAGCCCAGCATCAGTACCAGCAGCAACACCAGCAGCAACATCAGCAGCAGTATCAACAGCTGCAGCAGCATTACAGCGATGATCATTTACGCGTGCGTGGCTATTCGACGCCGGCGCATGACTCGCAGCCAACGGCCACGTCGTTGCCTAGCATTCGACTGGGCGCGTCACCTTCGATAGCCAACGACAAACTCATTAGTCTAAGTGAGCTGTGGGGCAAAAGCCATCTGGCAGGCACTGTCATAGCAAACAATATGTCTGGACAACAGGGCATACCTGCTCTCAAGGAAGAGCAGCTGCGCCGCCAGCACCTGGAGAAGATGGTACAAGCACTGCAGGCACAGATGCTGGAGTATCAGCAGCGCATCTCGGTGGCCATCGAGGTGGATCGATCCAAGGACTGCGCCCTCCAGCAGGCGGAACAGCAACTGAACACGCTCAACTTTGAGGTTCAAAATATGCGCGACTCGGTGCATAAACTGGAGACGGAGCGGAACGACGCCCATAGCAAACGCGAGTCGTTGCAGCATGAGTTGTCCCAGGCTGTGGGCTTGGCTACCAAGTTTCAGGAGAAGACAGACAAACTGGAGGCCGAGCTGGAGCGGGCCAAGCGTCAGGCAAGCGAGACAGCGCAGAAACTCGAGCAAGCTGAATTGCAGTTGCAGAGCAGCAAGCGTTCCGAAGAGCTGTCGCATGCCGAGCAGAATAAGCTGCGTGATAAGTTCGCCAAGGCTGATTATCAGGTGGAGAAGGTATTGTCGAATGCCTCTATCTACTCTCCTCACTTCTGCTAAAGAAGTTTATTTTTTCTTCCTACAGCTCAAAGCGCGCATCGAAGAACTAGAAAAAGAGAAGTCCACGCTGCAACACCAAAAGGAAATGCTGCAGGAATATCATCAGAAGCAAAAGACGCGCGCAGACAATCTGGAACTGCAGCGCAAATCCTTGCAAGAGGCGCTGGCAAATCTTACCGACACTGAGGTGGCTTTTAAGCAATACATTTGAGTGACTACGATGTTTAATTCCAACCCTTTTTTAGACAAATCTCAAGAAAAAGATGGAAATTCAGCAGAAATCCTTGAAGCAACATTACCAGCAGCAAATGGAGAATGTGGTGGCCAAAAAGCTGCAAGAGTTTCAAGTCCAGCTGGACAAATCGGAGGAGAACCTGAAGGCAGAGGCACGCGAGCGCGAACGTCTGATAGCCGATCGAGCAGTCAAGCAGCTGGAGATGATCAATGAGAAGAACAACCAAGAGTTGAATCTCGTACAGGAGAAGCACAATGAGGAGGTGGAACTTTACCGTCTGCAGCTGGCAAATGCATCAAAGAAAATAGACGAACTAGAACTTCAACTCAGCTGCTACAAGACTAAGCGGTAAGCCAGATTATAGAAACGATATAAGAATTATATAAATACTCATTGATCTCTTTGTGCTTCCAGTGCGGATATTGCGGAAAAGCTGCATGGTGTAATGGAGGCACAGTGGCAACAGGCACTGGCCATACTTACCTCGCCCAATCAGACGTTTCAGTTGCCAAGTGGCGAGACGACGGAGAGCGAGTCACCGGATCTAAACAATGCGCGTCACTATCCCGACACGCCCAAATCAAGCAAAACTCAAGCCAGCAACAACACCGAGAAGAATAATCTGGACACGGCAGCCAAGAAGGATCCGCCATCGCCCGTGGACAAGCTGCAATCATACATTGAGCTGCTGTTGAGTAAATCGCCAAGTGATCTTGATAAGCTCGATAAGATTCTATCCATGAACACCAAACCAAACGCCAAACCACAGAAGCGTAACTCCAACACCGGCTCCAAGCCGCCGCCCTGGAAGTCCTGATAATTATATATATTTATAGTTCATTTGTATTAAATAGTTCGATAGTCTGATCTTTCATGTAGCCACATGTATGTGAAATATTTTCGTAAACCACTTTACTTGGAAGTTGTGAAAGTAAATTGTCTTATGTTTGCGAAACAAATTTATTGCTCATTCATAATTGCAACAGTTTAAGGCAGCGCAGCAAACTTCTTAAGCTGCCAAAGCATTGTGGCCATAAAACAAAACAAAAAACAAACAATAATTTTATAACTTGTAAAAGTTGTTTGGTAGAAAAGTGTATTTCAATAGCTTTATGTACCTATGGCTATAAAACTAATATGTGTGTGTATATGTATATAATTAATTGAAGCCGGTCGTTAGTTACAGAATGGAATTCCATGTGACTTGGGCTCGATATCATTTTGATTCTTCAGCTACTCTGGTTTATGTGTCTGTCATTGATATGCTTTGAGTTTAGTTGTAGGTTTAGTTTACGACTGTTTACTTGTAAACAATTTGGGGAAACTTCGGCGCGTTGCCGTAGAGACCCTCCGATTCCCAAACCTGGATGTGGGAGTCCTTTGTTAAGACCACCAAGTGCTGATGCGTAGAGTAAATGATGCTGCAAGTAAAAAACCTTGTCATATGCCATCTATTTAAGCGGGTGATTCCACTCTCACCTGTGAATGGGCGCCGTGCCCGTTGTTAGTTCGCTGACGAAACTCAAATTCCAACTTGACCAGAAGCGGACGAAGCCGCCCTCCACAGCGGTGGCTATGACATTGACGCCGACGCCTTCCTTGATGTAGGAATAGCACACAGCCTGGATGCGGTCCTCGTGCACCTGATGCTGTACGTAGCGTGCGTTGACCGAGTGCAGACGGAGTATGGATTTGCCATTGGGATTGATGTTGACGTTGACAAAATCATCCAGGCTCTCCTCCGTCACCTCGAAGCATTCGTCCGCTGCGCTCTGTTTGGCCAGCGATGCTGCTGCGTTGGCATTCGTTGGCTGCTGGGGCATTGTGTGCACGGTGACTATGTCGCCCAGGGTAGGACTGATGGCCACATGCGTGATGGGCGACTGATGAATCTCCGCAGGACGTGCAATAGTGCGAACGTAGCTCCAGCTAAGGGTAAGCGATTAGTTAGTGAACCTGTTTGGCTATTGATCAACTCACTCATTGAGATCCCAAATGACGGCAATGCCGTCACGTCCAGCGGTCACAGCAATTTTAAACTCCACGGACAGTGCAATACAAGTGATCTCATCCGTGTGCCGCACCAGAAACGTGGGACCTAACCAGGTTAGGTCAGCACCGTCGCGATGGAGTGCATCGCCGTTGCAGGAGACTCCAGATGAGGACATAGAGGCAGAAGAGTTGGTGGCATGCAGATTGCCCGAGTCATCGGATGCTTCAGCACCAGATCCAGAGCCTGTGCTCTTGGTGGTCATCTTGCGAAATGCTGAATTATAGGATAGACGCAATCCACGCACATAGCTCTGACGACTCTTGGTGGTCGCGCGATGCTGGCCATCCATGCCGCTGGTGCACTTGTAGACGCTAATGCGGCCGGATTTGTGGCCAAACCAGAGCTGATTCGAGTTCACATCACAGCCACAAGCGCTGATGTCATCGAAGCTGTCGTTATATAGCAGATTCTTGGGCTTCGCTTGTGGTTTGTTCAGCGGCTGAATGCGCACAATGCGATCGTCGTAGCCCCAGGAAATCACATTATAGGTGTCGGGCTCAGCGCCCTGCATAACTGCTGCTCGCGCCGGCAAGGCATAGACCACATTCGTGTTGCTGAAGCTGACAAGATGCTCGGTGCCTGGTATTTTGTGTATGATGGCCCACGACGGCACCTTCAGCTGCGGCGAGCCCACGTAGACGCCCCACCGCAATCCCTTCACACTGGGCACAATGGGCGTGTCCACCAGAGCATAGTCCAGCGCTTTGGAGGAGGGATGTGGCGACTTGAACAGCTGCCGTGGCATCTGTCCATAGGTCTTCACCATAGTCTTGACTGCCTCGCGTTCAATGGGATCGCTAATCTCCGAGTCGAGGAAAACGGCATAGGTCTGGAAAAGGGCAAAACGATAATAATCATATATGCATGGCATATGGAAAAGTTAAGCCGCCAACTCACCGCTGGATGGAACACATTAATGGCCTCAACGGCGCTCTCGCCTGTTTGCTTATAGCCAAAAATTAGATCGATCCAGTGATGCAGCTCATTGCGAACCAGCTCGGACTCCAGCGCCTGTCGATGGATGAGCACAAAGAGACGCGGATCTCGCTGGCACCAGACGGGCAGTGTAACATCCTCAACCCTTTCGCCATTTTGACGACAGCCGAAATTGAAGCGCTCAAAATTCTCAAACATTTCAGGCAGGCAAAAGAACTCTGGTATGAGTTCCTTCACATCCGTGGAGCTGTCCTGGCTGGCCAGGCAATATGTGGTGTGCAGTGCGTGGAAAGTGCGATCCGGCAGGTCAAAGTTATTGTCTGTCATGGAGCAGAATTCGATTAGTCCAAGAGCGATTACTGGATGAATTCAAACTACCTTGATAGCGCAGAAAATAGCTGGTGAAAGGCGGCACACGCACCAGAAAGTGCAGCACGGTGCCGGAGTTTGAGTAGTGCGAGCTATAGTGATACGGCTTCAAGATCAATGAGCCCATGTTGGTATTCGTGCTTTCGATGTACTGTGAAATATGTATATACATATATTAATATATGATCGCTAATTCCCTTATTTGCTCTACTTACCGCATAGTTGTTTATGTAGTGCTGCTCGTTCTTCTCCAGCTGCACGGCAATGGGTCGCGAGAGTCGTCGAAAGTTTTGCGCTTGGCGCAGATCTAGGCACTCGGAGCTGTAGTTGGCCAGCACCCAGGGAAAGACTGGGTACTGCATGAGATCGTTGTAGGTGCGTCCAGCTATCTGATTGAGCGTCATCAAGTACTCCCAATTGGTTAGCAGGCCCTCGCGCCACTGCTGCGTTATGGCCAGCACTTTGGAGCTGTCCGGCATGGTTACAATTTTATCACAGAATACCTCGCGCATTATCTTCCAGTCGTCGGCGTTTTGCAGCGAAAAGAACAGCGATTTGTTGCTGTCCAGCAATATCTCAAAGGCCTTCTCCTGGTGCTGGTAGCGCTTCAGCCAAATTTCAGTTATGTTCGATATATCACAGTTCACATTAAAGTATTTACAACGATATGTGGCCAGAAAATAGAGCTTCAGATCGGTTATAATTATCTCGCCATCGATCTCACCGTCAACGGGCAAAAATTTTGCCGCAAAATTATAGAGTATTTGCGAATTGAGTGATATATTCAATTGCTGATCGTAGCTGGCTATCAAATAGTCCAGCGGACGCACATATTGATCCTTCTCCTCGCGCTGACCCTGCCCGGGGCAGTAGTCGTTCATAAAGAATCGCCGATCTATATCCAAATGGCAGCGCCGCAAACGTGTGTGAACACGCGATGGCCCCTCCGTGTCATCCAGCTCCCAGGAACTGCAATAAAACAGATTAGTGGACTTTATATATAAAGTGAGCCCATTCACTTACCACTCAGCACGCTCGTTGCAGTACCAGGGCGCGCCCTCGTGGGTCATCCGGCGTATTATCTCCAGCCATTTGGTGTAGGTGTTTGTGTCATCATAGTCCTTCATGTGGCACATGAGCAGTTTTCGCTCCGCATTCTATTGAGAGTTAAAAGTTAAGCAAGCTCATCAGCAATCGTACCAGTGCATCTCACCTGTAGCTCTGCCACGCGCCTGGTGGTCACCATGGAGGTCTCAATGCAGTGCTGCACGAGCGGCTCGAACTTGTAGAGCGTCTTCTCCAGCAGCTGCTTCTGCTTGGCTGCCACAGTGCTGCGATTCAGCTCCAGTCGCTCCAGTTCGTGCTCCAGGTTCCATGTGGAATCATTCTCGTTGATGCCCAGCGCCTTGCACAGATTGGGTAAATTCTCTATGGGCGGCTTCACATCCTCCATCAGGCTGAGCCACAGCAGCGCCTTGATCATCTTCACATCGCATATGATTGAGGACTGGAACTCGTCCTGGCATGTGCGCCACAGTGCGTCAACAATGTAGGCGCGCAGATCGCGGGGACGCGACGGCTGCAGACCCCAGGCAATGAAGTTGTTGCAGCGCTGATTGTTGGCTATGCCAAAGGAGACGAGCAGCTCGAACAGCGCCAGCTCCTGGCTGCTGGCCACGTAGTTGCTGCCGTTGGTCTGGCTGCCGCCTGTCGTAAAGAACTGGGTGCAGCGATCAATCAGCAGCTCCATGCGCGTCCGGCACTCCGACTGGCTGAGCGAGCAGTCGGGCAGGCTGCTGCGCAAGCGATAGCCATGGCTGCAGCCACTGCCAGTGCAGGTCTCGAAGAATAGGTTCAGCCATTGGAACTGCAACTGAGCCTGCACCGCACGGAAACTGCGCACAATCAGCGGCGGCTGTTTGTCCTGGTAGAAGGCCAGCATGTTCAAGATGTCCCACACAAGCTGTCAAAGCAGATAATCAAATTTAGATCACGGTCACAACTGATTACGAACGGCCACTCACATTGATTTGTCCCACAGATTTCAGCGCTCGCTCGCCAATGCCATTCAGCAGCTCCACAATGGACTGATCCATATTGGGCTGGCCTAGGCGCAGCGTGTAGAGCTGGTGCAGCGCCTTGACGGTGCACTGCAGCAGACCCGCCTCCACGAGGCCCAGCTGCTCATCGGGATTCTGTAAAGAGGCGTAGAGCTATGAGCATGTGACTTTAGAGAATGCCATGGGCAACCCACTTACCTGCAGATAGAGACGCAGCAGCGCCTTGAACACGCGCTGCGGTTCCGAGTTCCAGCTGCTGTTGCCCAGAGCCATCGAAATGGCCAACAAGGACTGCAGCCCGAAGCGCTGGCGTATGCCCAAAGCGACATCAGAGCTAATCATGTCTGTGAGGCTGCCATGCAGATCGCTGACCCAGGAGAGGCACGCCTCGAACATGGCCACATCGCTGCCATGAATGGTCAGCTGATTGGCCAGATGCAGCGGATAGAGCTGCTTCGAGGCAGCGACCAATTCCGCTGCAGCCAAGCGCTTGGTCAGCACAGCTAGCAGCTGAATGATGGCGGTGCGCACGGCGCAGCTG